GAGATTTGTTCAGGAATTTATTGGTATAGTATTATATAATATGATCAAATGTTGGCGTACCAAAAAAAGTATATTTTTCTGAATTTTAACCACAAAAATGGACATAGCTAAGTATTTTAAGGAAAATGAGTGTATTTTGAGTCATTTTTGAGAAACTTTTTTTTTCAGAGATTTGTTCAGGAATTTATTGGTATAGTATTATATAATGTGATCAAATGTTGGAGTACCAAAAAAGTATATTTTTTTAATTTTAACCACAAAAATGGACATAGCTAAGTATTTTAAGGAAAATGAGTGTATTTTGAATCATTTTTGAGAAACTTTTATTTTCGGAGATTTATTCAGGAATTTATTGGTATGGTATTATACTGTGATCAAATATTGGAGTACCAAAAAAGTATATTTATTTTTTGTTGATGACAAACGTTTTTGGGGACACCTGGAGAGAAACAGACCTTCAAGCCTACATACAGTAGGTCTGTTTATTCTAGCGGGAGTATATTGCTCAAACAATGAGGCTACAAAGAGTCTATGGGATGCAGATTCTGGCAGGCCTATATTCCTGGCAAACACACAGACACGCACACACAAACAAAATCACCTTCTTACTGACAACCCTTCCTTTGTTAAGACTTGTGAAAAGACCAGTTATTGTTGAAAACCATAGCATATCCATCTGTTTAAATGTTAGACACACACAAGATCACATGCACCTGTTTGCACATAAGGTCACACCCCCTACCTCACTATCATCGTCATCCTCACTCTACACAGATGAAAGACAGGAAGAAGAATTTGCAGTAAGGTGTGTTGAAAGTTTGATACTCCTAACACTCTTAACACATTCAAATATTCCTCTTTTACGTAAAGTATCAGCATGGTCCATGAATACAATTTTTATTCGTGAATAATTGTATGATGGTCTAGTGTTCATTTGACTAATTTAAATTATTTGCCTTGGTTCTAAATGTACCTTAAGTTGGATAATATTTTTAATACTCTTTCAAGCCACAGCAAATATGGGTTAGAACAGTTTCTCACAAATTTGGGCACATGGTCTACAATGGACCAGCAAAAATAATGTTGAAATGTAGGTTGATTGACTCATCATGTCCAAACCCCTGGAACTTGGACCAATGGAAAAATGCCTAATGTACCTTTAATATTTTTATTATGGTTCCCCGGTCTTGGTATATTTTTTAGAATAACTTCAGTGGTATTACATGCATATATACTCATACTATATTGTACTATATTGTATTGAAGAATGGGTTAGAATTCCCAGTAATGCTTTGCAGTTTGTAAAAAAACTGCACAAAAATACAGCTGTATTGTATTTATTGAGATTGATCGACTTGTCTCAGTGGACTGACAAACTGTGGCAGTCACTCAGTTTCCACTGACAGTACTTGGCACCATCTAAGGGTTGAAAGTGAAGTCTGCCACTAAAAAGACATTTTCTTTATCTGCGCTGTTGTTTCTGGCGTCCATACATTTGGACAGTTTGAGTAGTTTGAGATTCAAATCTAAACAGCCAGTCAAATCAGCAGAGGTATATGCATAAAAAAGTGGCATTAAAAATATTTTCTTTAATTTTGTGTTGACCTTTACCAGCCTGAAAAATATTTTGACCTTCCTTTCTACATAGGGTAAACATTTAGCTGTATCAGGCTCAATGTCTTTGTCAAAGTCTTATGAAATGTTACTTTGATTTCAGTGTCTTCCCACCCATGTCTCCCTGTGGCCAGTTTCTTTAAGAAACAGCTGAACGGTGCCTGATTGTTCTGTTGTTTTCATGATAACACACAGTTGAACCTCTTCAGCTAAACCCTGTTGAAATGTAAGGTTAACAGAAACATAAAGACGCAGCAGATGTAGATTATGGAGAGCTACGGAAAATATGAACCTCTCTGTAAGAATGTGTTTAAGGTGTGGGCCGTGTTATTCCTCCTTCAGGGACATCCAAAGGTTTGAATTTTCACACAGTGATTGAATTAGAGTCCTTTTGAAGACCGAGGGGCCCCTGCCAATGCTCGCTGTGGAGTCGGCTCTGAACAATCGACTCCTCGAGGTGTAAGGGATTTTAATCACGCAGCGAGGTATTTGCTCAGGGCCCTTCTTTTAAAGACCTGCTTCAGCTACAAAATGGGATACACTAAAAACAATCCATGGACTGTTGTTGCAGTAATCCATACATGGAGCTCTGAGGGGCTGCGCTGATGTCACTACAGATGTGTCCTTCATAAAAGGGCCACGTCTGGTGCTTTAACCACATCTGAAGAACAGCCATTGTTAAGAGGCCGTTCATATTGTTTCATACAATTGCAAAAACACTAACTCAATAAAAAGCATGTATCGGGGAATAGAACATGTGACATGCTCGTGGTGAAGATCACTTACATCTGTTATCATTTTTCCCCTAGTCTTGTTCCTCTCCCTGTGGTTGGCCCTCTTCTGTTTCTGCTGCAGCACACGCTCTCTGGTTGTGCGATATTCCAGAGCAAACTCGCTCAGGATTTTGCTGAATCGATGAATGCTGACGTCTCGCACAGTGTATATGGGATGGCCCAGGAACAGCAAGAAGGCATGGAACCTGCAAATGTAAAATACATCACATCACTTGTCAGATATTTACAGATGGCAGAAGCAAAGTTTCTTCATCTTCATCTTCTACTGACTAATACTCCTAAAGGTCACCCAGCAGCACCCTGGGGTTCACACTGAACAGCTGAGACAAACAAGCATTCACACTCACATTCACACAGTTTACAGTGAACACCTAATCTTGGACGACTTGAACCAGCAAATCGGTGACCTCTTCTTCCAGCCTGTGGCCAAAGCTAAGTGCTGGTACATCAAACCCTGATTTTTGGGATAATGTACCTGTTAATGATTCGACGATGTACAATCTTCAGAATTATAATCCTCTCTGCACAGTCTTTAAGGAAGTCAGACATCTTCTGTTTCAGCGCCGGTTTCATCTCGTGTTTTGCGATGACCTTGAGGTGGTCCCATGATGCTTTGCACCGTCGCTCCATACCCATCAGATTATCATGGAGCTGGTCAAAGTCCACCTGAAAAAAAAAACAAACAAACAAACAAACACATTAAATCTAGGAGTTATGTCTAAAGTAAGACTAGAACAATCCAAACATGAGGGCAGAATTCTGTGAAGGCCTACCTTGGTCAGGCGTGTGACGGCTCCTATCTCTGAGTAGAGGTCAGTGCTGTCAGGGAACTTCTCCACCACGATGGAGCAGGTGTGGTGCAACAGAGACTGCTTGTGAACCGTGTCCTTCACCTCTGGGACTTTCTCCAAGTAACTCAGCTCAAAGCCCTTCGCCTAAACATGCATGCGTTCACAGCAGCAGACTCAGAAGAGGAAACGGAACCAACTGTCTGACATTTAAAACCAGAGGCCTCCACTCAAAGACCAAATTGTAGCAAATTTCCTTTCTGGCAGAGCCAGAAAAAGTCCTAGTCAACATCGTGTGTCGAGCAGATTTGGTGATTCATTAGGCCAAGATTAGAAGAACCCTAATCTATTTCTGTTCAGAGCAAATGCTCCACTTGACACAGCAGAACTAAAAAAGGAAAGCAGAACGTATCGTGGAAGATCACAATCCTAACTGGAGCTGCCTTGTTCTTATGCCAGCCCTGAATGGCTTACTGAAAAATATAAGTGCAGACATTATTTCTGGGAACTACTTGTTTTGATGTTGATGACTTATGCTTCCCCTTTGCATGTTAGCTCTGGTATTCCAGATGTTCACTCACAGGGGTGAGGTAAACACAGAGACCTCCATCACACTGTGACACTAAGACACACTCAGTTTTCAACACCAATATGTCCTGTACACAGGGGTGGACAGACGGACAGACAGACAGGCAGATAGACCCAGGTTCTACAGCAACAAGCATTCTTTCACTTTAGAAGGACAGTGTCTGCTGCAGACAGCCACATTCCTACACACACACAGTTCACTGTTATCTTTGCCAAATAAATATGTTGGCAGGGAAGAAAGTAGTCAAGGAGGAGGGGGAGGAGGGAGAGTGTGGGAGGAATGGAAGGAAGTGCACTGAAGACATGAAGAGGAGTTAAAAAAAAAACCCAAACCATATATGTCTTACATTGGTGCAGTTGAGAAAATTGCCAATGGCCAACAGTGTGGTCAAGATGTGGCGCAGGGTCTTGTTTGTCTCCAACTGGTCCATTCCTTCCTTCAGGTCCTGGAGAGGCTCTGCTACTTCCTGATGAATTAATGACAATAATAAAATCATTCAAATATCAGCAGAAAGATGAACATTCTGAGCTGCAATTACCCCCTGCAACTAAGGCAATAAGACAAATTTACAAACTTATATCATGAATTTGTGATGTAATATGATTACAATTAAATTGTGAATAAATCTAGACTGAACACCCACCAAAGTGTAACGTTTCTGCATGTGGATGGAATGTACAGGAATCAGTCTGACCTTCTCAATAAACTCATAATCCATTTTGAATGCCCACAGCTGCAGGCGAGCGGACAGCTCCGTGATGGAGGACAGAGTGAGAAGAAACTGTTCAGCGCTGCCCAGAGGGATATCAGGGTTGACCAGCTGAGCTTCCTGGATCCTCTGCTTCTCTTCCTCTGTGGGGATCATCGTGAGGATTTTCTAGTCCAAGAAGGAAAAAGAACACGAGCAGGGGAATGAAAAGAGTGTGTTCTTAGAAGAGTCTGTTCCTCAGTGTCTGTGTTAAAAATTATTTTTCAACACTTCTTTAAAAAAAACTGGTACATCATAGTTCAGGTCATAAATGAAAAAGAGGAAACTAACAGATTCTGATGTCTCTGACTGTGTTTATCTAAGATGGTTCCAGTTTCCTTACAAACTTGTGTGACACCTGAACTTTCAACCTCATGTTTATTGTCTGTCTGAATACACCTCCAGAGACAGGAGGTGGACAGGAATATTCCTCTGCTGCAAATGAATTCAGGGAAGAGCTGAAAGCTGCAGGTTATATATCACCAAAAGAAATGGCAACATCAACCTTTATCTGCTGAAGTCCTCCAAAGGTCCACAGTAGGGATTTTTTTTTTTAGAACAAGCTGAAATTTTCATCACTGTGATTAATTGCTTCAGATGAGCTAAAATCACCCCTGTGACGCAGCCAGGACCTCCGATGATACTATAACATCATGGGCATTCTCATGAATATGATTGAAACTCTGCTTTGTGGAAATCCACAGCTGTCAGTTTGGTTTGCTTGGTTAAATACCCTTTAAAGTCATGTTTACTTTAAATCTGTTGAGCATGAATCTGAAATGACGTTAAAGTGACTCGCCTGAGAAAGGGTCACTTGAACAAAAGCTTACCTCAATTCCTTCCTTATTCAGAGCGTACTCATCGAAGTTGAGGATTGCAGTCTTGATGGTGCGCGGCGGGGGTAAGACAGTCAAACCGATGTTGATGGCATTGCTGCGTTTGGAATCCAGGACTATGATCTCTTGTCGTTTGCCATCGACTGCTGCTTTCTGAAAGACATACAAAATGACAGAAACAGAAATTTAAGGTTTAAACCTCTATCATGACGAAGCACTGCATTACTTTAACATGGCATTAGCTCGGCTGTTCTTTTAGTCTCTTTAAGTCTATCCTAACTCCAAATCAAATAAATTGCACATTTCCAGCCCCATAACTTCTGGCCAACCAGTAACACAGATTCCAGTCCAGTAGGGGGCAGTAATGTATCTAAAGTTTGATAAAAAATGTTGGAAAATTGTTTGCAGAATTTTTTTTTTATTCCAGATGTCCAGATGTTTGACTGAGAAGGTGGTTGCTTGCAAGAAATAGAGGTTTCTTGCTTACTTCAAGACTGCAGTATCACCTAAATGCAAAACATGTTGCTGGGAGTGAGTATTAGCTGTAGTTGTACCGTGACTCGTCAGTAATCTGTGGATGTCGTTGACAGAATAAAAGAGTAACACTTTTATTGTGTAACTTCAGGTTAATGTTTCATTAAATAACCAAAATGATTTTAAATGAAAATAAATACAATAATAGTAGATATATTAACTCAGTATGAGTCTACTGGGTCAATTTAAACAGGTGTTTAAGAACTTGTTAAAACACATTTTATTATAGTTATTGGTTTATTAACCAATCATTTATTAACCATTAGAGTCTTTGGTTGAACCTTCTTCTACATCAGTAAATAAACTGATTTGCACGCAGAATCTCCCCCCCCCCCCAACACACACACACACACACACAGTTACTTTAATCAGTGGGATGAACTGTTTTATAGAGAAGATGAAAAATGACCTGGCTTTGAGGATAATGTTTGGAAAATCTGTTGTGGGATTTGTGAGTATCTTTCAAAGCACAAATAGACATGATGGATGCTACTTGTAAGGTGAGTGGATCGGGTGTGTGAGTATTAAAATACAGTGTGTTTTCATAGCAGGTGCTTATTTTGCCCTTGTGAATTCACTGTTTGGGCCAAACTGGGTCATTTCCAGGGAAATTTGATCAAATGTCATGATCCCATTTATCCTTTCTCTACAAGTGGTTACATCTGTGTAGATGGGAAGAGTAAAAAAAGTTATAAACAATTTAGACAAAGTAAAATAGTGTATAGAACTATTTTACATAATTATGTGGCAGCTCACAGCAAGGGTTTTATTCTAAAAGATCCCAAATTCAAAGATTACAATTTTGAAACTAGTATTGAAAATTTATAATAACAATAATAATAACAAAAATATTAATAATAATCATTGCTTACAATTGTAAAACAGTCTACAATTGAATACAATAATGGGCAAAAAATCTAATAACAAGTTAACAAGTTCTTTTTCATTTAAACTGCAAAAATAAACCAGGTTTTATACAGAACCCTATGTTAATATTACAGTAAAATAAGTAGTGTACTTGTACTTATACTTACCCTTGTAACAGGCAGCTCCTTGGACTTGGACTCAAACAGCTGCTCCAGCTTGGACGTGTCCAGTTTAACTGGCTCCAGTTTGGACCAGAGGGACTCTTTACAGAATTTATGGCTCTTACACTGCCAGTCCACAGGTCGCACCTCATTCCAGAAGAGACGAATGGTCTTCTTCTTCTTCTGGAAGAGTGGCGGCTCCCCTCGACTGAGATGAGGTGAGGGCGGAGGCATGGGGGCCATGAAAGGTGGGGGCGGTGGCATCATTTTGCCGGGCATAGGAGGAGGCGGGGGGCACCCAAACAGTGGCGGGGGTGGTGGCAGGGCGTTGTTGCACGGAGGCGGGGGAGGTGGTGGCATGAGGTCACTTGGCCTCATCATATTGTCCAAATCTAAAATGTCCAGGTCGTCCTCGTCCCTCAGGTCGGTGAAGTCCATGTCTTTGATCCGCAGCTCTCTGGGTGAAGCCATCAGCTGATCCCAGATGTGATCTGACTCTTTCTTCGGCGCTGAACTTAATGACACAGCACTCGAAGATGATTTATCAGTCTGCTCTTTCGAGGCCTCCACCTCTGGGAGAGGAGTCAACCCTTTGACCAAGTCTCCAAACTTCTCCGCCACTGCTCGGACACTGCCCTGGTTGTCCAGATGTCCCACTTCCATTTTCTTCACACTTTCCTCCCTTGCCTGTCTGTGGGCCTCCAGTGTGGAGATCCTGCTGACCAAACTGGCCACAGAAGAGTCACTGACCTCCAACTCCTTCTCACATTTACACCTTTCTTTCTCCGTTTCTCCGGCCTTTTCTTCATCTTCATCATTGGTCGTAGTCTGAGCATAAAGCATGTCCAGCATGAAACGCTTACTGTTCAGAATGTTGTTGCATTCGTCGTGTACATCTGTGTCTTTAATGCACTGAGACCACTGGCCTGGTGAGATTAAAGTAGACAACATTAGATAATCCAGACAGTAAACATGTTGTTGTCTTAGTAAAATTAAGAGCAGCCTCACCTGCGTCAATGTCACTGCTCAGCTTCTCCTCCCGCTCCTCCCTCTCCAACGTGCTGCTCGTGGAGGAGATGCTGGACGCAGAACAGTTATCCTTTTCATTCACCTCCTCGTTCTGTCTCTCCTTCTCACTCAGCAGCACGCTGTCGTCATCCTTCTCTGCGGTCTGACTCTTGTCACACTCTTCCTCCAGCTCCTCATCCACCTCTGCCTGTCGCTCTCCTAATTCTTCTACATCAGTGAACTCCACTTTCTTCACATCTTCTGCTGCTGCCGCCTCATCCCCGCATTCTTTCTGCTCCTCAGGCTTCTCCTGCTCCGGCTTTTCTTCCTTCTTTTCTGTCTGTTCACCCGACTCCTGCTCTGACACTACATTCTGATGAGACTCAGCACTGTCTACTGTCTTGGCATGCAACTCTGTCTCAGTCTGCTGTTTCTGTGGCTCTGTCTGTGGTGTGGGGGATGATTCTGGGACCGTCAACTCTGGCCCTGGACTTTGGGTTCTGGTCGGAGGTTCAAGGCTTGCTTCTTTGATGTGTTCTGTTCCTGTAAGAGAAACCAAACGAGCAAAAACATTGATTCATATATTTCACTGAGGTGCAGTGTGTGGCATTTGCTAATGTTCCAAAACATCTAGAGTTAAAACTTCAATGAAATAAATGACTTCCTGACATAATGTTTGTTCAACTGCAACAAGATAACATCTTATTTTAACATGTGTACACGTTTAGACTGAAGCAGCTGCTTGAAAAAGCTGTAGTACAAACTTTTAACAAAAAAAAAAAATGTAATTACCAGGAAGTATGCTTTAGGAAAATAAACTAAATCAAGTTGAACTTCATCTGTGTTAAAGGAAATTGCGACCATTTACCTGACGTTTGGTGTGCAGTGGTTACAGTGCTTTCCTGTGCAGTGGTGGTTACGCAGCGGGACACTGAGCGGCTGCCCGAGCTGGAACTCAAACACAGCGTGATCTCTGTTCGTCCTCTCGTGGGTGCTTTGGGTCGCTCCCGCTCAAACTCCTCTGCAGCCAGTCTCTCCGCAGCCTTGTACCTGTCAACATACATGACATTTTTAGGATCTGTGCTGAATGCTAAAAAGTTCCAGTAATGTCAGCTTATATCTACATCAGGGGTGCCCAACCACCGGGCCAGGGACCAGTACAGGGCTGTGGATCATTTGGTAGCAGGACACAAATTTTACAACATTTTATTTTTTTAATTTCATTTTTACAATATAAGCTGCCTTGAAATTTTCTAAAAGAAAATTGTGAAGACACACGTTTGAATGACACCAGGGAGACAATCACATCACCTCCATGACAAAACCAGAATTACACACCTGTCCTGTTAACATACTGTAATACAGTGTGTCTCCATAGGGAATGGACATAAAGGGGCCCTGACAACTATAAATCACTGTGAGTCAGGATGAAACTTCTCTCTTCTGATAACCTCTGGTCTGCAGCAAAATAATAATAAATAAATAAATGAACTCACCTTTCCTCTCGGGCTTGTCTGGCTTCTTCCCTTTTGTCCACGTAATCTCGACTGAGACAGAAAGAAAATGTGTTTTCTTATTACCTTCATATTTATTATTCTGCCTTGACTCTATGTGAAATGATGTTCAGGTCAATTTTGTTAATGCCTTTTTTAATTTCCTCGTGCACACAGTAGACATTTTTGTTGTACAATTAGAAACATGACATCTGACAGACCTGAAGCGGTTCCTCTCTTCTCTTTCGATTCTCTGCAGACGCTCCTCTCGTTCTTGCCGTCTGCGCTCTCGCTCTGCTGCCAGTGATTCTTGGTGTTGTCTGTAGGATGAGCTTAACAAACCTCCCACAGTGTGTCTGCAGGGCACAGAGGAAGAACAAATGTAGCTGTGCTAAAATATGTTTAAGTGACAAAACTAGTGAATTAAAATAACATGTACTCCACATCAGATGATGAACGTTCCCACCTGTCGTGTTTGTCTGGGGTAGAGGCTGCTGAGTTAGTGAAGCGACGAGATGGTGATGTAGGGGTCTGGTGTCGCCCTGGGTAAGGAGTGCCATTGGCACTAATTCTGTGGAAGAAGATAAAATATTTTTACTCCAACAACAGTGTTTAATTTAGAGGAATCTGTGATGATGGTCAAATCAGCTCTGTTCAGTGATGAAAAAGTTATTCATTACTTCTAGCAAGGAATTTGGACAGCTTGTCTGTAGAGAGTTAACATTGAACTGTACAGCAGCGGTCTTAAACGGGGGGTCCATGACTTAAAGGAGGAACATGACAAAACCAAAACCATTCAAAACCAAAAGAACATTTGATTAGGACTGCCAAAAACAATGCTGACTCTTTTTCTACATTTAGGCTAACAGAGGTTTGTGTCTTCTGGCTAACATTTGACTCTATGTGAGCCAAACTTCACCACTTGAACATTTTAACTTGACCTGCCTAACACTGTTGGATTCTGTCTGTCTTTTAGCTGCATCTCAGCCTCCACAAAGTTGTCTTTCATCTAAGACTCTACTCTGTCTCTTATCAAGGATGTAAAAAACCCTCATAAACACCATGCCCAAAATGGCAAAGGATTTCAAAACTGCACACACTGTGCTCATCTCTGCAGTGATTTGACATGTTGACCCCTGGCCTTACCTTTCAGCCCAGCAGGGCCTTTTATCTGTGTGACATATGGGAGGGTTGTTTGTTTCTGTTGGACTAAAGATGGAAGTGAGAGAAAAGAAAAGAGAGTTACAGTCAGGTCAGACACGCAGAAGATTAGATTTAGAAAAAAAAAAGGTTGGTCACAGACAGGACAGTGAGAGGCAGCAGCTGAGGCAGATGGGCTGCAGGACCACACAACAGTAAAACAACAGGGACAAGGACAGGAAGTGTTTGTGTTTGTCTAAACTCTTTTCATCTGCTGCCTGGCGAGCAGACAACGAGTCTGTTTTAGAAACTTTAAAGAGAAGAGTCCTGAGTGACTACAGTGACAGTCTAGATCTGTCAGCCTCTCCTCATTCCACTGCACCAGAGCACGAGTGGCTCGCGACTGATGCAGATACTTTTAATTCCCTCAATGCTTGGATATAATTTACGGACATGTCTTGGATTCATTTTCATGTGGAGCCACAACTGAAAGCAGATGAGCAGTAAATGTCTGTAAAATAAGACTGAGTTATTAAGACCTTCCTCCCAGTGATGTGCAACAACTCTGGAGATGATAGACCAAGTGTAAATCACATCCCAGCACAGGCCACTGTGACCAACAAACATTTTTAAAGAATGAAGGCGTTGGAGGGGAACGAAGCCATCACACACTGACAGCGTAACCAGGAAATGATGTCATTTTGAAGACTGAAGGTTATGAAGCCCATTTCCACACGCCATCAAACTTATATTAGACTTATTTGACACATATATTGGACAAACCAAATGTTTTACTGAACATACAGTATAAATCCAAAAAAGTAGTGACAGAGACAGGTTCACCACGGGATCACATTCGATTATATATAACCAAATACATTTTGATTATTAGGAAACTGAACATAAAAATATTTGTTCTGGAGTAAATTATTCTTCAAATTTACTGAATCTGAAGCTACTGGCCCTTTTCCTAAAACTGTCCTATTTACCTATTTATTGTCATATGGAACAAGACTCCAACAAGGCCCCCCACTCCCCCCAAAAAAAGCCAAATCATCAACTCATGACTAACTCTGTGCCGTAGACTGTTCTGTTTTAATGCAGTGGACTGTGTAAACCAACAGGGATCTCCTGGAATGGTTCCATGCCCGTGTTCTTGCGTCCTAATCAGTCTTTGTGTCCAATCACATTCATCTGAGGTTCCTGACAATGGCCAGTACACACGTTTCTTCCTACTTCCTGAATATTTCCACATGATTCTCAACTACAGATGATGACAGACTTAAGTTCTGTGCCATCTTGCACTAATTCTTTCCAAACATTTTTCCCATTGAACCCAGTTGTGATACCTAGCCCAGTTATTAGCTTCACTGCTAACTGAGAACTTTAATTGTTTTTATCTATCTGTCTCAGACCAGACTTTTTGTTGGTGAGTTGTGGACTTGGATTTGATTATTTTGATTATTATTATGAATTTACAGTGAGCTGCACACAGACACAGACTCCAGTGATAAGCAGAAAAATGTGTTATTTTTTCTTCATGCTGAGGGAGGACGGCTGATGAAACGAATGCCTTTCATGGTCTTGGTTGAAGTCGTTGTAAAATGAAAGGGAAGTTTCAGCAACAGGGAAGCAGAGCAGTGAGATCAGTGTAGACTGACTGAAAGTGTTGACAAAGTTTGGCATTCTTGTCACATCAACAGGGAAAACACACCCAGGGCTAAAGGTGGTCTTTTTAGGTGCGACGGACACAGGAGAAGTTGTCCTGGCCTTGACGCTGACATATTCTCTCTGCCCTTCAGGGTCACTGGCCTTAGGAAGGATGTTGGCCATACACTTTAAGCTCAAGCACATGTTAGGAGTGTCTGCCGCGGCACTAGGATGACAAAGAAGAGTAGGAATCCAAATAGGTAAAGGGAAAGGATCAATACTCAAAACTAGGCACATGTGAGGGGAGTGAGACGCTGAGCCGCCCTGTGGACACCTGGTGGCAGTACCTGGTAATGCCCTGTCTAGAAGACTCAGTGACTGGATGACTTTCATCATCTGCCTCCTCTTCCTCCTCCTCCTCCTCTCCCTCCTCCTCTTCTTCTTCTTCCTCCTCCTCCTCCTCTTCTCTGTGATAGGAGGAGGGGTCGAGGGTGGAAAGGAGGGAAGGCAGTAGGGGACAGAAAAGAGAAAAGAGTGGACGGAGACAACATGAAGACACACAAGAGAGCATGGCACAGAAAAGACAACACACAAGAATGACACAGAAATGTGCTGCTTACGTAAGAATCAGTCAAATCAATCAGTTAGTGCAGACAACAGATGATTAGTAGAGTCGGGGAAAAGTGAATTTTAGAAACCGAAGAAGTGGATTTCCCGTCACATTTGAGTTGAGACACAGCAACATGTTGGATGTGAAATAAGATTTAGAGGCCAGTTGAAGGACATATCTTCTGTGTTTGAACTGATATCCCATGTCTGGGCTACATGGTCATACATGAGTCTGCGGCTGATTTGCTATTTGGATCTCTCCTGGGTGTCTGGATTTCATTAACAACACGGAAAACAGTGCACTTCAAAGGCAGCTTGAATTTCCTGTGGCGGACTGAAAGAAGCTAGTCTGGGATCATATGACCTGCTGGAAAGAATTTGAGTGTACCTGAAGACGTGAGTCCCACCAGAAATATTAGGAGGTATGTTGGTTTGAGGAAAGGCTGAGATTAATGATGGGGCAATTTATTAGAGACAAGGATTCTGGGAGAGACCATAATCGGCCAAGGCTCTAAAGATAATAATCAAGGTAGCGGTAGCATTCCCTGAGCAGAACTAAGAATCCACATAAAACTTTGTGAGTATGTTTGATTTTTATGCTGCTTTAACTGTATGGGGCAGACACAAGACTACTGTGTAATTACACAGGGTTTTCCTCCAGCTTCTGGCCTAATTCACCAGCTGTGGTTTAGTGTTGTAGTCTCAAAGGTTTGCCGTTTATTCAGCACATTTTCTTTATTGTAATTTGTAGTCTAAACTTATGTCTTCAGCCTGAAGGACACATGTCACTCCACGCAGCACAGATAACTCCTATCATGTTTTTTCAGAAGCTTCCTATTTCCATGAGTGGCAGTAGAACGTCTCAGTTGGAGAATTAATTGAAATTTCACTTTTGTTGTCTTTGCACTTTCCTTTTTTTTTTAATCACCATCTGATTAAATTTTCTGCCAGGAGAAGACACATTCCTCTAAGACATGAAATAATATAACACTTAGAGTCAGAATGTTTCCTTTTCCTCCGTGAACCAATCCTGTCGACTGCAGCAAATACAGCCCTGAAGGAGAAGGTAATGTTTTCATTTGACGTTTCCTCTCAATAATCTCTCGCCTCACCTCTCACTGATGTCTTCAAAACTTTGACCATTCTGGTGGAGGAAGCCGCTGGTAGAAGTATGTGGGCTGCTGGGAGACGCTGGGGCAGAAGAGTGGCCTCGGTTGTGTTGGAGTGAGTGTCTTCGGCTGCGTCTTCTCTCCAGGCCCCGTCTTTCATTGGTGCCACCGACGCTAGCCCGCCGGCGATCCTTTCTGCTGCTGGGAGGAAGCTGGACTTCTTCATCACCATCCTCATGGCGTAGAGTCATCTGGTCGACAACAGGCAACAATGAGAAGCTGACTGAATGTGAAAAAAAATCAACCAGGCTTTTTGGGGAAGTTTTTCTGACCTCGTAGATGTTGAACTGCTCCACAAGGTCAAGGTCTGTGCCCTTTCTGCTTATGTGTCTGTGGGCAGTGGCTTCGATGGCCTGTTCCTCTAGACAGTCCACCATGTCGTAGTAGGAGTCCTGGTCTGGGAGACCTGCCAAAGTCTGAACCACAAAAGCCAACACAGAGAAAATAGGTTTTTGGGAAAAAAGAAAAAACAGAAAAAGTGTGGACTAACTGTGTTTTAAAGGACAGCAACACGGAAGCTGCAAAGATCACAACAACTGAATTCACTGACCTTATTGATGAGGGTCATTGCGTAAACCAACAGCTCTGTATCCACTCCATCCTTCTCTTCAAGAATCTCCATCACGTTTGACCACGATTTTGTTCCTAAGGAGGGACAAAGGTGACACCGTCTAACGCTGGACGCCACAGTAATTCCAGGTCAACAAGCGTTTTGCACCACTGTGCAAAAATAAATAAATGTTCCGTCATCTCATGGCTCCTTTTTCGGGAAAGGCACACAAGTGTTTTCATCTAGAAAAGTGAAGGCGAAAAGCAGAAGCTCTGTGCCTCGACCACGAGGGTCAAGACCATCCCCTTCTCATCAGGAGATTGGGGGTCAGGTTTACTCTTCTTATGTAACAGCAGAAAGTGATGGGATAAGACAAAGCAGAGACGGAGTGATACCTGACCCCTCCTGGTTGATGCTGGCCCCCACTCTCCTACTTCAAGCCACACTGCGATGTAGGGTTTTTGGAGCAGCAGGTAACTGAGCCCTGACACAGGCTGGACTTACAGTCTGTCTCAGTGAGAGTCCGTCTACACACAGCTCAGGACAACTGATCTGAGAGCTGTGTAACAGGAGGCTGTGATATGCAATCAACAGGACGTCACTGCTGCCAAGCAGGGTTAATCAGTGTGATGGAGAGGAAGAGGGTTTGAATAAAAAGTGGAACTCCTGAAACACTTTGATGCAGCACCGGGCTGTGTTGAGGCATTTTAAAATTATACACAATAACCTTTCAGCTGTGGCTTACGTAGTTTAAATTGATTCATACTGTATGGTTTAAATATTTAACACATATAAATGTCTTAAATTATTTTTTAGGGACTTAAGTTATAAACATTAAATGACCTTATTTCTTTGTTCTTCAAACTAAACACCCACTCCACCCAAGGTATCTGTAGCTTTTTTATTACTATCAGTCAGATTTTAAAGCTGATATTGAGCCGCGAGCCAAAAGATCGACTGCATACTGTTACAACTGCGTTTCATTGAGAGTTTCAATGTCCCCTCACCTCCAGGATAGTTAATGCATTTCATTAGGGTGTAGATTAAATTAACAGTAGTTAGACAAATTCAAAAAGCTAAAGACAGATTAAAGGGTATCTTACCTTTTTTGCCATCAACAACATTCACAGCCTTTATAAGCAGGAGAGCATTCGACTCTGTGTACTCCACAAACACCAGCAGGAGCTTTAAGGCTGTCTTCACCACCAAACGGAACTGCAAAAAAAGGAAACAAAGTTTTGACAACTGGCAGACAGTCTTCAAACCTTTCCTGTTTGGTCTTGACATCTATGATAACCAAGTCTGAAATGATGCAACTCTGTGAAAGTCTCACAGAGTTGTAACACATAAAACTACACACAATAAAATAGCAAAAAATTAAAAAAATGATTTTTTTCCCGATGAAACAATGTTACAGTATGTGTCTACATAAAAAATAATTTAAAGGAATAAAAGCATTTCTAACTGCCTCAGAACTAATAAGGCTGCCCCTAGAGGTAGCTTATCATTAAAAAAACTAGGGAATGTTAAGACTAATATATGAATCCATGTTCACAAATGTGGAAAAAAAAAAAACTAGGGAATGTTAAGAATGTTATATGAATCCATGTTCACAAATGTGGATTCATATTGTGGCTGACACTAACACCGTCTGACCACTAGAGGGCCGAAGACCACAGTGACAGAGGAGGTGAGAGCACGCTGACATGAAGCACGGTGAGGTATAGTGCTTCAGAGTAAAGAACTATGCAGCTATTACAACTTTGTCGGAGTCCAGATGTCGGTGCGGAGTTGACTCTGAGTTGAACATCTGCACAGCAGAAGCAGAGATCCGGTGAAAGTGAATGTTCATTTGTCTTTACCTTGGATCCGACCAGGGTGTAGAGCCACTGGACCGTTTCAGTGTGAGATATGAGGCCGTTCATCCCATCCACGAAGAGCATGATCTGACCAAGAGCTGTAAGAGGGGAGAGGGGGGAGACAGAGGGAAAAGAAAGGAAATGGGTCAAGTCAGGGAAAATAGCTATTAAACCTTTTTTTTTCTTTTTTTAAAAAAACGGAGGAAACTACACCATAATTTTCTTTTGATGCCTGTAAAACAGTTGATGTTTTAGGGTTTGTGTGAAACCAGTATTTCCAGGAAAAGAATTTCATAGTTTGACGTGCAAACAATATTTCTGTGCATGGCTGCAGAAAAAAAAGAGTAAAAAAAAAGGGGGAAACCCAAAAGGAAATCAGATGACACAATCAGTGGGGGGGCAGTGCGGGGGCTGGCAGTATTTTGGGGGCACTGATGCTGACATGACTTCCATTGGTAACAGGATACATAAATAAGAACATTACAGTCAAGGGATCTCAGTGGGGGGCTGTCAGAGTGAGGGGCAGTAAAAGTGGAGGACTCCTGTGTAACGGGGCAGATGTGGGGGAGGGAGACAAACAGTTCTGGACCAGAGTACTTTTACAACAGTACCTCAGGGGCCATTCTCCATTCTGTTAATACAGTTAATCATCAATGATACTGGTACTGGAAGGAACCTCATCTGTCTGGAGGCACCATATGCCTTGTTTCCTACCCCAGGTTGGAGGTAATACGTGTATGTACCACTGTGGTAAACACTGACAGAGAGACACTGTCAATACTTTCCTTCTTGGACAACATTACAATACTGTGTGTACTGAGCTCATCTATCCAACCCTGCAGCAGAGAGATGAGCTCAGGTTGAACTCGGTGCAACTTGACTTGATACATGAACTGACAGTGGAGACAAGTGAACATGTTCAAAATGAGAAAAATAATAGAAAGAAGAATTCCCTAATTTCCTAGAAACAATAGGTGATGATCCTGAAGCTCAGCACCAGAGAAATATTAGTGTAATAGTCCAGGGTCAAACAACAGACAGAGTTCAATCTTTGACCGTTTTAGTGAAGAAAACACAGAGACATGAGGTTCCAGCAGAAGGAGTCTGATCTCCCGGTGCTTTGTTTTGAACTGCTGCTTTGGACATGTTGTGATGAGAGGCTGCGGCTCTGTCATATATTTTCCTTCCTCTTCTCCTGAGCCGCATGAACACTGGGAAAATGCCGAGGATGAGCCAAAATTCCCAGGTGCAGCAGCTATGAGCGTGGTGCATGGGTGGACACACATGTGCAGGAGTGGGTGTCTGTTAATGGCCCACTGCTGCTGCTGCCGCTGCTGCGGAGGCCGTCCATCTGTTTTCAAAGCCAGGGTTAATTACTCCGAAAATGTCAGGCCACCCAACTCCCC